GTTCGTAGCGATGGCCTCCAACATCATAGCGATGGCTTCCACCTTAGTAAGTAGCGTCCTTGTTACATCATCAAGTAGATGATTCGCAAATGGGTGAGGGTCAAACTCAGAACGCCCTGATTGACCACCCAGATGAACAAAATAGAGGTCAACCTACCCTGGTTGGGCTCTAAACGATTCTGCTTCATCACTGAAACTTTTCGGAGAGGAATCACAAATAAAACACAGTAGGATGGTCACTCCCAGCTTCTGCACCGAGAGGAACCAATTGCCGTTAGTTTGGGCCTTGAGGGTGTCCAGGCTGCACAGGGGAGCATGTCCAACCCCCAAGATCCCCCCCGCCCTGGGAGTCCAGTGGACGATTTTGAACGTCTTCTCCTAGGTGATCCGAGTCCAGGAATGTCCTTATCTCTACTTTGCTGGTACCAAATCTAGTGGACTTCCAGGACCAAGCTTTTTGAGATGCCAGGAACAAAGAAGTCCAAAGAAGTTCAGAAGTCCACAGCATGACGTGCACGGCCGAAACCTTATGAAACGTCCATAGCAGCCACCAGCCATCCCAGCCTTCCATCAGCTGGCCAGGGCCTCGAAGGGATGCACACCGGGAAGTGGTGGCGTTGTGGCGCGGCTTTGATGAAACCGTGTACGGCTCCATATGATGATACAGCTAGTTAGTTGTTTAACTAATCAGAGATAGCATGAAGCCGGGAGATGCTGAGAGGACCAGATTTTGCTGGCTCAATTGGAAGGAATGGCTGTATGCCACATGGCTCCTTATAGCTATAAGGAGCTTATGGAGTAAGGGAAACTGGCATACAAACATGGAGTGAGCTTATGCTATAGGCATACAGGAATGGCTCCTCATTAACTTACTCCATGCCTGCATTGGTGGGTCGTTCGACTGCCCGATGCATGTTGCTGCGCAGAAAAGGTGTCGGAGGGATATGGATGATTGTCCACTTGACAACCACAAAGAGGGCTACAGGCAACCAACCCGGACCTGAAGTTGGACATGATGAAACACCAATGAAACGTTCCTGTGGGAAAAAATAGACTTATGCATGCGGAATAGTCAAACCATTCGGGAGTCATGTCCCCCGTGGTGCGACCACTCTGAGCTGCTGACAAAGGCTGCAACACCTGGCAAAGGGGACGTGGATCAGCTCTACACAGCCGTGGTGTCTCCAACACAATCCTGGAAAAGTCACGGATTGATTAAAACTTAAGCTAGAAAAGGAAGGAATTGAATGGAACTGGCTGGGGAACACAACCAACCAAGGGACATTCCAAACATCATGTGGTTTTGCCTGCGAACCCTTCTTGCTCGCGGGAGACTTTCTGTCTGAATGAAAGGGATGCAAACTGCTGAAAGAATCATCTGCTGTCTCCGATCAGCTTTCTTCAGGATCCGATCAGCTATACATACCTGGCGTTTGAAGGCTCCTCCCTTCAAAATGAGTGGGAAGCGACCGGAATCTTCAGAAACATCAGACATCCACGTCCAAACTCAGTGTAAAAATTCTGGTCATGAGGATCTTTTAATTTCTCCTCAGCATTCATCTTTCACCCCACCAGTGCCTGGGTCGTCTCTGCCGCTGGCACCTGCCAGCCACTTTCACACGCAGGCAAAGAACCTTTCCCCAAGCAGGTCATCGGGCTTTATAGATTTTCCCCTAAGTTTTATAGACTGTAGTAAATGGACTGGTATCGAATGCGGACAACTTGTTTCCAATCCATCACCCCCTCACCCCCTATCGGATGATTTCTATCGGCCACTGGGGTAGGTTTCTACCTGCAAACAACACATCTCCATCGTTTTGCACTGTATACTGTATGTGACTTGCCTCATTTTCTAGCCAGCGGAACCAGGTCTTACCTTTGAAGCGACACCCAGGTCTCTCCTCTGGAGACTGTGTTCGGTCCCGCCTGAGCCTCCGTGGGCTCGCTCAAGCGACCGGGCGAACACGAGCGCTTTTCCGCGCAGGGCGCGCTGGACGGGGCCTCAGTTGGCGCCAGGGCCCACTTGGATGGAAGACCTCCAATAGCCCAGCATAGCAGAAGTTCGGAGACCTTTGCAAGATGTACACTTTAGCAAACAAACATAGATCAAAGTCAAAATAGACATTAACACGGAACGCGGACAAGCTCCCAAGTAGCCTAACATAGAACAGGTGTCCAAAACGTCTCTCCAAGATGAAATTTCTATGTTAGTCTCAGTTCCCTCTGTCCTAGCAAGTTCTATGTTAGGCTTGCTTCCCTTGGTCCACACATCCTTTCTCCCTTTTTCCGCGCTGCTGGTCCCGAGCGAAAGGTCCATTAACAGCCCTCTTTTAGGGCGCCTCTGTGATGTCCCCTTTCTGCTATAGCCGTTACAGTACAGTACAGTAACACAGAAAACGGTCATTCCCCAAACAGGTTTACCTGTGAGGGGTTCTTACTCCCTTTAAAGGGGTGCATGCTCGGGCCCATGATTTCACCCTTGTCTCCCACTTGTCTCCGACTTGTCTCCCAGTAAGCTCTGGATGCTCTCAGTGCTCTGGCCGCATGATTTTATACTTGTCGCCATTTGTCTCCCATTTGTCTCACACTTGTCTCCCACTTGTCTCCCAGTAAGCTCTGGATGCTCTGA